TGGGTGTCGTCGCATCATCCAGGTGGATGCTGCACATTGGTGGTGGTGGAGGGGAGTCCCCATTACCTGTAAAGCGCTTTGAGTGGAGTGTCCAGAAAAGCGCTATACTGTATAAGTGTAAGCAATTATAATTATTATAATTAATTATAGAAAATATCTAGCTGCTGTGGATACAGTACATCCTGGAGCTTAAGGGAATGCCTTAAACACACAGGCTTGAGAAATTTCTTAGTTTTGAACAGAGAATACAAGGTGACCTGATACCATTTTTTTTTCCCGAAAAACCTCAAAGGTATTGAAAAAGTTAACCCAGCCTGGTCCTCCAGAATGGACAGTTAAACATGGACAAGAGGACATAGATGGGCACTGCTGGGAAGAGTCCAAATAGAAAACCAACAACGAGAGGCCCTTCTTTACTCAAAGGGTTGTGGGAGTCTGGAACAACCTACCCAGCCATATTGTAGAAGCCAGTAACTTGGCCTTTTTAAACAAATGACTGAATGAAATCCTTGGATTCTTTAACTACTAACCACAGCATCGGGCTAGATGGGTCAGATAGCCTGTTCTCATTTACAGACTATTACGTTCTTACTCTAACATTATTGAATAGTGTAAGTACCACAGTTCTTCCCAACCAAATGCAGTTATTCGCTAAGAGTTTCACTGAATTCAGTATTTTAATTCTTTGAAGTTTAGAAGTCTTCTCTGTAACTTACTTGAAAGTCGTGCCTCAGTTTCACAAGGGAAACCGTTAAAGCTGTGGAGTTCAGGGGCTTGAAGTGTTCAGGTGCACAAGGAAGAGATGAAGCAAGATGAGATTGCAGCTGATACAGAGACTGAGTGAAGTTCTCAGAAGGAAGATCTGCCTTCCAGACAAACAGGTGCTCCTGGAGTCAAGACCTGCATGGAGGCTCTACTAATTGATGTGAAGTTGTCAGTTGACACTTTCTATTGTGTTTGTGGAGTGTGGTCACATCTGTTACACAGGAACTTTTTATATATATTTTTTGCTTTCAGAATACACTTCATTTCTTGTTATATTTACTTGTCCACTTGTTATATGCACTCTTTTCTCTTTACATTTATTTTTTACTTTTATGTTTATCAACTCTTAATGCTTTGATGCTTTTGCTTCAGTGGAGGTTTGTTTTTTCACTTTGTAAAAAATTCACTCAATGTGAATTTTATTTTTTTCCAAGGTTCACCTGGGTGTCAGTGCTGATATGCATAACCTTCTTTTATTTTTGATTATTGGTTTTAAAAGTTATGTTTACTTTTGTTCTCTCTTCAGAATTGAGTCACAGGAATGTCCTCTATTTCTCAAGGTACCATAATATCAGTGCTAAAGGTAGAACAAACCCAAAATCTTATAAACCTTTCACAGACAAAACAGACATGGAGTTTTACCATAACCGGTTACACCTTAGATCTTTTTGTTCTGCCATCTTCCTTTGTTTTCTAATCACTATTGCTTTGTTGAATAAAACGAGTTTCTAATGGGGTCAGATTAAATTCCCAGCCTTTGCGCCTGTGTGACTATCAAATACCACAGCTCTAGCATGTCTTAATCCAAGTGTTCCACTTCCAGAGGATAAAGAATTCTTCTTGCCCGTGTGCAGTTAATGTGAGAAAGTTTAGCAGGGAATGGAACAAGTGTTTTCCTGTCAAGCAACAGATTGCGAATGCATTCACCTGATTGCCTTCTGAAAGCGTTTTTGTTCCTTGGCATTTTATGTCTCCTGCTTTGTGGAGACCCTCTGTTGTGGCACCACGCTGTATTCTGCATATGCCTGACTAAGGGAAATGAACACCACCTTTAGACATCACAGGCTTTTGTGTAGTGTCTCCTGGAAGTGAGGAGGAGATGTGTGATTAGTTCTTCTCTGAATAATAACTACACTCTTTTCCTGAGCTGTTCCTCTGTTCCCACCTCAAGTATACAGCTACATTGATCCCATTGTGGGTAGGAAGTCTTTTTCCTGTTTTAGCAGCAGTGAGTTAGACTGGGCTGCACAGCTCTGAAATGAGCTGTAGTATGGAAAGAAAAAAAATCCACATCATCAAAGGTGTTTCTTTATAATCAGCTTTGAATAAGATTTTGATTTGTTGGGGGGTAAGATAGGGTTACATTTTTATCATTGTGATACATAATACACAAAACAAATCTTAAGCATAAACTCTGAGCGTATACAAGTGTACTGCTCCTGTTTTTACCTTGAGATGAATGTGCTGATATTTGAGGCTATGGACATTTTTGCTGACCCACTAGCACCAAAGGTTACGTGAATCTCAATCCACAGGCTCTGTTCTCAACAACAGTGGTATAAGAGGAATCAAAATGCTTTAAAACACCGTTAGTTCACTGCACTTTGGAGCAGGGTTTGTTCCTCTTACAGTTGTTTGTAGACTTTTGCTTCCCTTAACCTCTACACACTCTTTTTATGCCTGTGTTTTCTGCATTGACAGACTTAAACACAGCCCTCTTGAGATAGGAGGCAGTACAGTACCTTCTGTAATTGGGAAAGGGTCAGGTCAAACCAGTACAAATATGGTCTATTTTTAAAGAGCTCCAGAGATTGAGACTTCAGATTGTGTCCTAAAAGTAAATGTAGTAGGGATATTACTTAAAAACAGACAAATATATTTTTGAAGGAATTTGTGGATGATTTTACTGCATCTAAGTATACCTCAGTCACCATTATATAATAAGGAAATGAAGGTGATACTTGAGATTTATTTCCAAGTCGGTAGCATTGCGTTTCTTCACAATCCCATCAAGGCAGGTAATAAGAAATCAAGATTTAGATGTACAGTGTGGTTGTGATTTATTATCCAATTAGTAGTCTTTGTTTTCAGTTAAGACAGAGCTTGTTTTAGAGCTTTATTGACACTTTGTGTACAAGAAGATGTACTTTTGCATGTGAAGGGTTAAATTGTTTTGCCGGTGCATTTTTATACGCTCAGTATCTGTTCTCTTAGGCCATACAGAATGCATGATTTCACTCAACTCCTTTCACCTGACTGTGAAAACCTTCCAATCAAGATTCAATGGAAAAATCTGAAAATGGCAAAGTGTGTATAGGGGCAGCAAGAAACAGCAATCCCTGAGTGGAGCCTTATGTTTTTGAGTTTATCACCGCACAAATTCTGTGAGGCCTGCAGGAGTGGCCTTCCTGTCATTCTCTTGTATCAGAGCTCCTTCACATCCTCTTCCCCTCCCTGACAAGGTGAAAGGTCAAGCTTACAAGGCCTGTACCATGCACGATTGTAATGCACTCTGTACACTGAGGACCATATACCTATGTTTAAATTGTTTTTGTGTGGGTGTTGAAGACTTTACACGCTGACCTTAAAAACCTGACTCCTTTAGAAAGCTGCAGTCAGGGTAAAACTATCTGGTGTCTTTTTGAGTGGGCCATTTGATTTTGTCAGCTTTAAATTCCTCAGAAGAGCAGAACAAGGCTGTTTCCCAGTTAGGACACATCTTTGGTGGAGGAAGACTACTGCATTTGGAAAAACAAGGGAGATGCATTTGATCCCAAAGCAATTGTTACTATCGGTACTTTCGGTTAAGAGACGTTTCAAAGTCAAGTTTATTTCCTGCCCATCGCTTCAGCAAATTTAGTTCAAACTTTTGGGAACACTATCGCTGCAAACTCTCCACAAACCTATGCTTAATTCGTGATTTCTCTTCTTTTATTCCACCCATTAAAAACCTGTAATTGTTTTATTGTTATCCCTCACCGTAAGAAAGACAATAGTAGTATTATTAAACTGGAAGAACAGGAAAAGAGCTTTACGCCACTAGAAACAATATTGTATGTGAGGATACTGGTTGTGGTTTCTGTTTTCATTCAGCTGTTGATAGTTGTTTTTTATAAATGGATAATATCTGAATTCTACAATTATATGTATGCCCCTTTTATGTTTTTTCAGACTGATGTAAATGAATTTCTGCAAGTAAAAAAGATTTTCACAAGGCCAAAATAACAAAAGAACAGTACAACGCAACACCAACCTTCGCCCTCCATACCTTCACCCAGGGAACCGCTACACAGGAAGGGTTGGACCGCTCCAGCTGCAGCACTGCAAGCCTCCATTCATTCTCATCATACTGTAATGCCCAGGGAATGATGGATCTGTGGCTCAAAGCTAGCAATGACCCCATACCTATAGATAGAAATCACTGGCTGCCCATTTTGTCTGTTCCATCAGGCGGTCGAAACCTCCGTGTACATGGTATAAAGACAGGAAAGGAGCCGGTTATAACGGGGGAAGGAACGTAGAGGCTCCCAGGAAGCTCCCAAGCAGCCCCAGCCTTAGTTTTAGCTGTGGTGAGAACAGCCAGACAAACCCCTTCTGTCCCGCTGCGAGAGGCCAAGATCCAGGTGATCAACTAGTAGAAGTACTCTGGGAGAGTAAAGAATCTTTAGATTTTTTAATGAAGGAAAAAAACGAACAATCCAGGTTCCAGAACATAACCACAAATTGGTCACAAGAATATTTTAATATGTATTGAAAAACGAGGGATATATTTATAGAAATAAAAATAAAAATAACAATAGCATTGACTTTAATACATACAGTACACCACCTTGTCTGCTCCTGTCTGAAACCTTTGCTCTATCAATGACCTAGTATAAAAAACCTTTGGAACATGGAAGAGGATTATTTGTATGTTGGTCCTTCAGGTTGGTCTATTTTCCCCTGTAAGGCTGTATAATGGTCCAGGACTGTAGAGGTTTTGCTTTTTTCTGTCAGACCAAAGAAGCACAGCTAAATAAGCTGATTTCCCCATTCCTCCCCTGCCTTAGCCCTTCGCTCTGTCACCGTTGAAAGCAGTGTAAAATAAATAAGGTGTATTTTTCCAAAACCATAAAAAGCCAAACAACTTTTCTTCCACTGTGTGTACATTTTAACCCTCCAAAGGGTTGAGAGCAGTGATTGAATTTCAACGCAATGATCTTTTCCTCTCTCCCTTTCTTCTCTTTCCCCCCCAGGAATCCGAGTTTGTGTGCTTGGAATTTGACGAGGCCAAAGTGAACCACGTTCTGAAGAAGATGGCGGAGATTGAGGAGAGCATCAACGCAATTACCCACAGCAGCTAATATTTCAATTGGATGCACTGGGACCAGTTAGTGTAAAGCTATTTTCATTATACTGTAATGGACAGGGAAAGATGGATTTGTAGCTCAAACTTGACATCACGCTGACCCCAAACCCAAATATGTATTTGGCTGCCTTGTGTTTTATTGCCTTCAGGGCTCCTAGAAAATGAAATAAAGTTGAACAGTTCAAAACAGGTGGTCGAAGTTAGGACTGGGCACTCTTTCCTGTTGTGATAGTGTGTGGATCTGAAATGATTTTGTTGGAAGGCGGGAAGGTCAATTCAGCATGGATTTAGTTGCTGGGAACTGCTCACAAGCCATGTTTATTCAATTTGAGGTTTAGACAATAATTCTAAAATGAAAAAAGAACTGTTTAAATGGATTCAGAGTATGCTCGTCCTAACTTCTAGAACCGAAAGTGCTGCCACATAAATATTTCACTAAGCCTCAATATTAAAAAGATCCAAAATGGCTATATTGGCAGTGGATAGTTCTGGTTGGGTGTATGTTTTATAAAATTAAAACCACTTAAGAGGTTTTGGAAATCAGCCCCTGCAATAAATTACATAGTTTTATGGAGCATTAAAGGTAGCATGGAAAATTCTGCCCTGTATTGTTTTTTTTGCACTTTGTTGGCTGTTAATGTTAACAACAATCTGTATTGTTTACCAATGGATATTGCAAATGACTGGTCCTGCGACTTTTTTTCTTAAACCATGACTAATCCAGACATTATCCGGAAATATATCTGCGTAGCATCTTGTAATTGATCCACCACTGTTAATTTCTGTTTTCTTCCGTTAGAGCTTTCAGATGGCCTTTGCTTTTACAGCAATAACTCTTATCAAATTAGATAATAAATGTGCACATCATTTGTAAAATAAAACCACAGGAGGAGAAATACAAAAAAACAATGCTTGGTTTGCACAAAATACATTCTTTGTGTGACCTAAAGCAACACACAATGTCAAAAAATATTCTCATACTGTTTAAAGACAAATGCTAACAGTGCAATTTTCACAACTTTCTGGAGTGACCCTTTCTCTTGGCATTTGAGCAAAGTGATCACAATACTTGCAGTCTTCTGTGAATAGATGGGAATAAGGTGCCAGATTTCACTATCCTTGTGTGGAATTATCATAAAAATATCAAGTGAAATCAAAGAGAGACACTTTTTTATTCAGTGTTAATGCAAACTCATTACATCTAGGTCTGTTGTGAGGAACTCTTAGATAAAGTTAATCTTTGTGCTTGAAATATGGACACTTCTAAATTTGTAAACAATTTTGAGTGGCACTCTTTTTTTGGCTCTTTTTTTTTACTGTATTGTCTTTCACTTGACAATAAGACATTCTCACATTCTTTCATCCCTCATAAAAAGTGTATTGGTTTTGTGAAGCATTTATCTGTTACCTTACTCGTGTGTTAAAGCAAAGTAGACTCTTCCTTTTACAAAGCCTTATTAAATAATAAGTCATCAGATTAAAATTTCTGATTAATAAATTCTTTTAAATAAAAAAACAACCGCGATTGATGTCATTCATTCAAACTCTACTGCAGTGTAGTGAGAACTAATTTCCAGTGATTGGTTTATAATAACACAACTGCCTGTCATTAGAATCAGCTGATTCTGTACTTTTATTGCCAATTTTCACTCAGTTGAAGTTCGAATGACAATAAAACATGTACAGATGCAAGAAACTAACCCTAAAGCTTACGCTTTAACCTTATTTAAAGTTTAAACAATTTTTTCTCTCATTTGTTTAATTATTATTTTATTGTTAGCCTTTTTATTCATTATTTTGTATTTCAAAGTCTGTCTGCAAAGAGGAAAGCCAAAATGAGTTCACAATAAGTTTAAAATAGTTCACAGTATATATATATATTTACTGTATGCAACAAATTTACATATCTGCTAGCTCCAATGATTTTAAATATATTTCAGCTGCTTAAGAGATACCTGCTCATTTTAGTGTTTAATGCACAGACTTCACTTGTGGCCGATCAACTGAGCAAAATGTGTCAAGATACTTTGAGAGAAATGTTGTGACACCGTAAACCAGACAAACAAAGAGCTGGACCCAGTAATGCAGATGTGGACACCACCTGCTGTGAACTGTGTGGGGGGAGAGAGATTGTCACCACATCTTGTGGTGCTAACAGTGTATCTGCAAAATGAAGGTTTCCTGTAACTGGAAGGGGCAGTTGAAGTATAGTCAGACCACCACACTGCTTTGAAAACTTCAGAGGTGCAACACCTAGGAAAGCATTGAGGTAAGTTACACAGTTAGAGATGGAATATTTCATTCGGTGGTGCTGCTAAAGTCAAAAGCCACAAAAAGTATGACTGTGTTTATGACTAGCATTTCTTTATCTCAGACATCTCCCTCTGCTTCTTGCTCTTTAAATTTGAGGATTGTAGATTTCCTGTGAAAATGATTGAGGTTGACGATGCCCTTAGCAAATCATTTTTTGATGAAAGTCTGTTACATATTACTTTATTAAAAGTCATGCCCTTCTTAGAACCAGACCATTCCTGAACTACAGTATGTCATTGGTCCACGTGCAAACAGTACATCTGGTTCCACGTGGGCCAATGTTTTGTTTTTTGTAATTGCAAGAAGATATTGATTGCAGATTGGACAGACGTGATCATAGGTATCCAACTAAAAGTGAAATCTGGTTTATGAAAAATATGACTCTAGTAGTAGATGGGATTGGACCTAATTCTCACTGTTTTTCTCGTATCTTTTTTTGATCCTTTGATATTCTTTTCTCCAGCCATTTTCTTTTAATTTTAATTGTTGTGTAGAGTTCATTTCATTGCATATAATATATTTTTTGTCCTTAAACAATAAATTAAATTCTTAAAATTTCAGAGAGATTTATTTTTGGCCTATCTTTGTCTCCACACAGTCTGCACCTCATCTAAGAGCTCTCCACAATGTGACATGGCACCCTGATGATCAGGGACAGCGCTCCTTTTTCCATTGTCTGCCCAGATGCTCCCTATACATATGAAGGCTGATCCCAGGTGCACAGGGATGAGCCAGTCCTCTATCCATCTGGCCTGGTCAGTGGGGGGATCATTGTGGCAGATCTCTACAGCTTAGAAGCCCCAGTCAAAGGTTTGGGACCGATCCCTGACCTCAAGGTGAAACCATCCATCCTTCAAGTCACACATGTGCTCTTTGCACACAGATAACATGCTAAAAGCACTTCAAAGGCAGATATTGCTCAAGCTTCAGCTGCAGACAGAATGCTGCGTGACAGCCTTATTTTACAGATTGTTAATGGCAGTGTCAGCGAGACAGGGAATTCCTCTGGGTAGTTTGTCCTTGGCCAACCACTTTTCTTTGATTCCGTAATCTAGGCAGAATCACATGACTCAGAGATGCAGCAGTGTGAAGCGGCAGAGTGGAGATCTGTTTCCCGCGTTCTAAATGAAATCCCATCCTCAGCAAATTACACATGCTCCCTGAGATGTTTCGGGTGGACTTCAAGGTTAAGTCGCTGAATGATCTAGTTCCAAATTGTCTTAAGGACCTGCTGCATGACTAGTCCAGTGCTTAATCTTACTGTACACAAACAGGCTCCACACAACAGGCAGTAGTATCTTCTCCTGGGCTGCCCCTTGTCTGTGGAACTCTCTGCCCTCATCCATTTTAGATTCTGTGACTGTCAAAGTCTGACTCAAAGACCTAGATTTTCATTAAAGCTTTTTACCGTATAATTTAGTTTTACTCCTGGTTTTACAGGATCAATGTCCTGGCCTTTCTTTTGTCTCTTTTTACTTCTGTTATGTGTACTCTTGCGTGAGCTCCTGTTCTGCGCTTTGAGGCTCTTAAAAAGCAGTCCTCAATAAATTGTATTGTATAAGTTAAATATTTTCACTATTCAGCATTTTCTGATAGGGAGTTGGAATTGTGATGCATGCTGTAAAAACATGAGTGTTATTTATTAAGCTACTTTTGAGTCATTTTAATGAATTTCTGCATCCATCCATATTTAATTACTAGTTATGAGCTTAACATCTGTAACGTATCCTTTCTTCACCCGCTCCATATCTCCCCGATTAACCAATCACTGTTTCTGAGGTTTTGTTATAAAAATGCTCTACTTGTGAATATTATTCCGTTTATTTTTTAGAGCTTTGCATTTTTCTCATTTTTGGAAATGCATCCAAAGTGCTTCAAGTCTGAAACATGTCAATATTAGAGAGGTCGTTCTAGGATGAGTCCTTTTTACTAATAGACCCACTCAGGAGCTCCTACATCTCTTAATATTCTTAGTAAGAATAAAACTTTAATGGTAATAAGGGTTTTATGAATAGTGCGGCCATAACAGTACTGTACATGCCCTTGTAACATGAATTCAGTAAATAAACACGGCTGTTCTTATGAGAAGTATTGTGCTGGTTTCAATTTTATGTACCAGCCCTATAGAAATATATACTTTCTATATTGTGAGCAGTGAATGCATATTTGCATTTTGCCAGTATAGGTGCCTACAAATAATAATAATAATAATAATAATAATAATAATAATAATAATAATAGAGAATAATAACTTCTCTAGTTGTTTTTGTCCACAATATGAGTTAATTTAAAACAAGGAAGAAGGCTCGTGAAACAAACACAATGTTAATAAGAGTATCAGAAGTCCAGTATATGGGTTGTTATGGTACTGGTGACAGTGCAGTGTACTGTAAGTCTGCAGTGATCCATTGCCAGTCTCTAATTTATTTAAGAGTTCGGTCTCCCATGCTGAAACGCGGTTCCTCTTGGTAATGCATCAAAATCAAGCAAGCAAGTAATCATCACATTCCACCTGGTCACACTCTGCTGGGGGAGACGGCCAGTGCTCTCATGTGGAGCAAGTGTTGCTTGCAAGTTCCTTGTCTGACACATTTATTTCACCATCTACTACATTTCAGTGAAAAGGGGAAGGAAATCCAGAGGCTCTGAAAAACAATGTTAGACACCATTTCACAACACACCTGAAGAACGGTTGATAGCTAAAACCTTTCTTTATTCTATTTTTTTAGCTTGAAATCAACCTTTACTTGTTCCCTTGTGGACACCTCTCACACAGCTCCGCACACAAACCTTTTCACATTGTCTAGGTGGCAGACTTTGATTTTGAAGTTAATATCCATGAGAGAACCTACAGTACTGTTTTTCTTGTTGCTGGGAGCTAAATTTGACACCAAGGTAATCATGTTTATTGACAACTGCAATAGCAGTCACAGTGTCTGTGCTTTTATTTTTGACTCTGAAAAAAAAATCTAATTATTCATGTGGAATACTAAAACCTTGGTGACTAGCTTAAATAATGTTTATGAGGTGTCAATAGTTTGAAGGGACCTCAGCAGCCTGAAGAGGTTCACCTGTGAGAATTGGAACTGCCTGTCCTGGTATACAGATATTTTAATTAATAAAATACCTAGCACTATCTTTTCAAAAGCTTAATGTAATAAAGCAGAGTTCAGTCACATTTTCTGTAAATAACTTTAAATCTTTTGGCCTGTTTTCAAGACAGACAGTGTTTAGCCCTGGCCTTTTGTGTTTTGATTCTGATTGTTCCCCATAATGAACATGATTCATGTTCTCCTTGTGTACTGTAACCACTAATTATAAACAACTAATAATAAAGTTTGTGTCAGGAGAATTGGCT